AGCATAAGTGTCATTTTTTCTGTGCGCTCTCATTTCTGAAATACTTCCTTAAGAAGCCCGTGTTCCCGTGGGACAGTGGACTGTTTTATCGTTTACTGTGATCTGTTGTGTTCACACATCAGGGTGTGATGATTGACTGCAGCTTGGATAGCATTGCTGTTATCTGCAGCCGCTCCCTGCAGCCTGTAAAGATAGCACAAACGCAGCATTAGTCATTGTTCCTTTACACGACATTTGCAGCCTCATGATGTTGCACTTTTGTTATTTCAGTGTTTTATATACCCTGTGAAACTGTTGTGTTTCCACAGGAGCTTGAGACCCTTGACAATGGGAAGCCCTATGCTGTTGCCTATGCAGTGGATCTGCCCACAGTAGTGAAAGTTCTCAGGTAACAAACACACAACAAAGTTTTAGAGCGTTTCAAAGTGCAATCATTTCCCTGTTATTTCTTACTGGAGCATTCAGCTGCCTTCTTATCCAACCCGCAGTGTGTGAATCCACTTCTGTTGTGTAGATATTATGCAGGCTGGGCCGACAAATGGGAGGGAAAGACCATCCCCATCGATGGAGATTATTTCTGCTACACTAGACATGAACCCGTCGGAGTCTGTGGACAGATCATACCGGTAAGGAAGAAGAAAGATGCTTCACATATTTCCACCTGCAGAGTGACCTGTGACCTCTGTGGCATGAAATGAATGCCTCAGCAGGCATGTGAAACGCTAAGTTATGACATCATGATTAAGAGATAAAGGAGCAAGTATCACCTGTTTTGGAAGGGTTACCATGGCAACGTGGCTTACGTTTAAAAAGTTGCATCTAAAAAAATTTCAAGACTTGACTGAAGAAAAGTCCAGTGAGATGAGAAACTGATGACATCATAATTTTCTGTATCGCTTTAAGTTATTGCTGATAAAACGGGTTCTGCACTTGCTCACATTTTTGGCGTGTTGTGCAGAACGGCGTGCACCAACAGACATGAAGAGGGTCGAACCTAAAAAGGAGCAGGTCATGTTTTTATTCCGTCCTGATGAGAACAATCTGAGCGCTGACGGAGGCTGTGTGACTTTTTCACATGATTGTATCTTTGTAACAGCTTTTGCTACAGAATTGTAACAAGCTAAATGTCACTCGGTTATCCTGTGATTGAAAGACACAAAGTAGTTTTATCCTCAGCTGAGCTCTGCAGATACGCACAGCGATCCATGTATTTATAATCTGCCCTTTCCAGCCTCCAGTAGCTGCAGGGTCACAGACTGCTCTTTGGCTCTGTTTGCTCGTCTGGACAGCAGACCGTCCAGCTCCTCTCTCTCCCAGGTCCCAGCATGCTACTGAAATAGGGGAGGCCTGCCAGCCCCCCCTGGCACTGCCCCCTGAACCCAGTGTACCACCCCTCCCCTGCAGCTGAGCCAGACCACGATACACCAGATATA